ATTCAAGTCATCTTAACATGACTAGGTTTGAGTTTTTGCTGTGTATATTTAGTGTATTTTGTATTAGTGTATTTTGTTCTCACTCTGAGCGCATGAGAGAGTGGCACCAGGGTCACAGTAGCTCCTGGAAAATTCCTGTAAACCTTTAGCTTTTAAAGTTATTCTTGTTTTTAGTGGATTGCTACAAGTACCCTGGATTCCATGTGAACAGCAGGTCGGACAGGAGAGACAACAGTAATGCTGTGTACAAGAAGAGCATGAGTAGACTGTACTTCCTGAGAAAGCTCAGGTCTTTCAATGTGTGCAGCAAGTTACTTGAGATCTTCTAACAGTCTGTGGTGGCCAGCGTCCTGTAGTTGGCTGTGGTCTGCTGCGGAAGTAGCACCAGTAAAAGGGACATTGGGTGGATTGACAAACTGATCCATAAAGTTGGTCATGTGATCGACTGTGAGCTGGAGACATTTATCACAGTGAGGGACAAGAGGACATTGGACAGACTGCTCTCCATCATGGACACTCCTACTCACCCACTGCACCAGACTATAGAGGGACAGATAATACTCCCTACAACTGTACAACAACTCACCCACTGCACCAGACTACAGAGGGACAGAGGAGCTCATACTTCAACAGGCTCCTACAGCTCCACTCAAACAGTGACAGATACACTACAACATTCATACCATACTCCATAAAATTGTACAACAGCTCACCCTTACGTAACAGATAAGCCTATGTTTCTGTCAATCATTATATCATCTTTGCACTGTTTCCTTGCGACCTCTTGAACATAACTGTGACATACTGTATTTATATTACTATATTTGTTTTCTTACTTACTGCACATACATTAATTTATGCTTTATTGATACCAATCTATTGCTATTTTTATTGCTACTTATTTAGAAGTTTATTACATTTTTTTTCAATATATATATTTTTACTCTGTGTTATTGTAATATAATGTGATGTGTGAGCTACTGTGTCCAAGTAATTTCCCTTGTGGATCAATGAAGTCTAAGCCTATATTTTTCCAGTTTTCATATATTGGAAGTCGATATAGTAATTATCATGGCAAGTCTACTGACATGAACAAGGAAAAGTAACAAGGTAAGGTAAGTAAGACATAGCTATACTTCATTTATCTCCATTGGGAAATTAGTGTTAATACTTTCACACATCCATCACTGCCTCTGGAGTAACTGTCAGAAGCAGCTTTACTGCAGCACCCATGGGACCCATCTTTAGATCTGGAGTTAAGCTTGGTCAGGACTATCTTAACCAGAGGAATTTGCCTAATCTGCATGTTCTGGTGGATGGGGAAACTGGAGGACATAGATGAAAGTCACTCAGATACAAGAAGCTGGATCTGATATCTGCTGGTTAGACATAAAAATTGATGTGATAAAACTATTTCCTGGTCATAGTTATCCCAGAATGTTTGAACTTTTTTAGACAGACCTATTCTGAGATAAATAACAGCTACATAACACATGTGGATCAGCTTTGTCTTATTTTACTTTTGTTTAAAGGAAATAAAATGGTGTTTTCAATCTCTGAACTCATTATCAGTCAGTATCAATCAATCCACTCAATCAATCAACAACATTATGAATCTCAAAGGGTAATTCAGACCGCACATCTCTGGTCGTGCATAATAATAATCCATAAATAGAATAAAAAATACATACATTCAAACCTCAGTGCATCAGGGACACAACAGCAAATGTACTTTCCATTTAAAAGCTTTATAGTAGAAGAAATAAAAGATTTAGCGTAGGGGTTGGTCTTTTGTTGTGGGGGGACATATCGTCTCTCAGAGGGCATTTGCACAAACTGAGTGCAGTACATGGTAAGGCTGACTCAGTATGGTCTTATGGTCGTCGTCTTACGGTGGTCGTCTTACGGTGGTCGTCTTACGGTGGTCGTCTTACGGTGGTCTTAGTCTTACGGTCTTACGGTCTTAGTCTTACGGTCTTAGTCTTACGGTCTTAGTCTTACGGTCTTAGTCTTTTGGTCGTAGTCTTACGGTCTTACTCTTACAGGCATAGTCTTACGGTCATAGTCTCCTGGTCATAGTCTCATGGTCTTAGTCTTATGGTCTTAGTCTTATGGTCTTAGTCTCATGGTCTTAGTCTCATGGTCTTAGTCTCATGGTCTTAGTCTCATGGTCTTAGTCTCATGGTCTTAGTCTCATGGTCTCATGGTCTTAGTCTCATGGTCTTAGTCTCATGGTCTTAGTCTCATGGTCTTAGTCTCATGGTCTTAGTCTCATGGTCTTATTCTATGTCTCCACACAGAGGCCAAATCTTCCATCTGAACACCACTGATTTTGCCACACACTTTTACTATCTGGTTCAGACTGTTCTTATCTTTCCCAGATAACCCATAAAACCAACAAATAAAAGAAAAATTCAGCAAACTTTTGATAAAGGAGGACAAAGGATTGCTTAAAAGGTGCATTGTGTAACTTTTCCGGTAGGGGCCCGTCAAATACTTTTCTTCGTGGAGATGTTACTGCTTTGTCAGGAATGTTTCACAGCATGGCATAAACCTTTCTATCTTCATGGAGACCAAACCAGACCAAGTTACAGGTCAGATCTGTGGAGAGGCGACCCCGCTCACAGTCAGAATGCCTGATTTCTTGGTATTTTTGAGCTAAAAAACACATGTATTTGAATAAATATAAGGTAGAGGAGTTTAATGCCATACTGTGGAACATTCCGGGCAGAGCAATGACATATCCATAGAAACATGCAAGTGACAGAGCCCAACCAAAAAGTATCAAAATCGGCATTGGAACTAAAAAAGCTGGATTCATGTCAAACCTAGGACCTTCTTGTTGTTATGTAACTTGTAATTCTCTGTCACTGAAATTAAACAAAAGCAGTACTGGCCACTCTACTATGTTGCTAATCTTTTTGAGACACTAAAGAAAAGTCTTCAGAGCTGATATAAAAGCTTGTCTTCAGTGTATCAGATGGAGTCAATATTTTAGACTCAGTAAATGTTTTGTGATAGAAGAATAAAACAGCACTAGTCTAATCTCCACTACCAAGCATCCGTCGGCTTCCAAACGGCCGCATTTAAGAGATGATACCCTTGTCCAGTTTAGACAGCTGTAGAAAAAGCAACAAAATATCTCAGTTCTTACAAATGCTCACTACCCGCTCACACAGCCCACACACATAAAACCAGCCAGTCATTTGGAAGGGTATTATGGTTAAAGCCTCATTTAAAGGTCCTAAATTATGTAAAATTGACTCTTGTGAGATTTAAGCCATGTTATAATGTTCTTACCTCATCAAAAAACATACCTGGAGTTGTGTTTTGTTTCATTCACACATGTTTGAATAAGACACAACTACAGGTATATTTTTTAAGAAAAAACATTATAACAGAAAATAGTGTAATATGGTCCTTTAAATATACAAAAGATATAATTATATATGACCCCCTACACTGTCACTGTAGAAACCTATGAGGAGCATTAGGGGATTGCAGTGGTGCATCTGAAGCCCTTTTTGAGCCAAAATCTTGGTCAGGACCACCTACAAAACTCCTGTATTTTTTGGACTATAAGGCGCACTTAAAATCCTTTAATTTTCTCAAAAAATCGACAATGTGCCTTATAATCCGGTGTGCCTTACGTATTAATTCTGGTTGTGCTTACTGACCTCAAACTGATTTTATGTAGTACACGGCGCTCAAAAATCTGTCAAAAAGTTTTGTTACAACTTTGGTAAGCTATGAAGCCACTCCGCTTGATGGATTGTCAGAGCATTATGGTTACTGTAGTCAGGAGCTTCACTGAGTCTTGTCCTTTAGTCCAACAGAAGCTGACCGCATCAGCACACAAGAAGCTTTTTTTTTTTTTTTCTCAGCGCTTATAGTTTAGGCAAATGAGCCATTTGGTTTTAAGTTTTGTTTCTGTAAAACGAAACAAATGTGTGCAAAGCTGCATTAAATGCATTATTACTCAAGGTATATTTGAGTCCTCCTCATAGAAAAAAAAACAAAAAACTTAAATTATCCCCCCGCATTCACATTCATAATACATATTCACTAAGACAGAGAGGCAACGCCGGGCGAATTACACCAGGATCTGCCAATGGGTCGTGGATGCCTGGGCTAAGGGATCAGACTCAAGTGTCGTCCGTTTGTTTCGCTTAATGCACCTTATAATCCAGTGCACCTTATGTATGAAAATAGACGAGAGAATTCAACATTATTGATATTGCGCCTTATAATCAGAGGCGCCTTATAGTCGCAAAAATACAGTAGTTTATTTTTGTCATTATGCAAGCCTAACACTTACTTAGTTTTTTATTATATATTTTCATACAAAAGTAAATTTTGCACAATATAAGTTAAATACCAATGCATTTTACAGTACAAAGCCAATGGCACTTCCCCTGATTACTGCTGCTTTGTGACTCACACCTTTTTCTTTATATAGTTACGCTCAAATTGTCAAAGGCAGCCGTGTCAATCACTAACCAGATTTCCATGCACTCAAACCTTCCTTTGGAGTTATAAACAGCAGACTCAGACTTCTGCTTTGACGCGTTTGGAAGAATCAGACACAGTGCAACTTATATAACGTGTCTAGGTCTATAGATGTTGTATAACCTCTGGTATATGGGCATAGAAGTAAATAAGACGAATAACTTTAATCTGGCACTATTTATTCATGCTTTAAAAGGTGCATTGTGTAACTTTTCTGGTGGAGGGCCCGTAAAAATGCTTTTCTCCATGGAGATCTTATTCCTTTGTCTGTAATGTTTTGGTATTGTAATAATGCTTGGTCTGGTTTGTATCTTCATCGAGACCAAACCAGACCACTTTACAGGTCAGATCTGTGGAGAGGCAACCCCACTCACAGTCAGAATGCCTGTTTTTCTAGGTCTGAACATTCCATTCAGAACCCCCAACCAAAAAGTTACACATTGCACCTTTAAAAAAAATTAATAAATACATGAAAACGATCTTGTTCTTACCTTCTGGAGACTCTTCCTGCACATACGTCCCTGTCAAGTATCGGTGGACCAAGGCGGACTTCCCACTGGAGAGATTACCCACAATCCCCTGCAAAAGGCCAAAACGCAACAAAGTTATCAGGGACAGAAGTGGAGAAAAACACTGGTGGTTTAAAATAGCAAGACCTTAATTGGAGACATGATAGATGGGAGTTGTGCTGTTGTTTTGAATGTAGCACACACTTCAAAAAAGAAAAAGCTAGGTTTTTTATGTAACTTCCAAGGTTTATAAGTAGGCAGTTTGTGATAGTTTTTTCAAAAAGTGTGAAAGTACAAGTCTTATCTATACAAATTAGCTTCAGGTCAATTTAAAGTTAATGTTTTTGTTATATGGGAACATACTTTTGGGTAATTATTTTCCATTTATTAAACAGTGATTAGTTTGGTCTCTGAGGTCTTAAAGTAATTTGAATGAAGCAGAATAAAAAGGAGAATAAATATAACTTCAAACTGGGGTCAGCAAAGAGCATAGTGATAATTAATCAAGCAATGCACTGAATTAATGTTATTTTTGAGTTCCTGGCATAATCACCATCAGATTTGTTTGTCTTGTTTATGATTAAGATCAGTAATTACCAGGTCTATCCACATGAAACAAAAACGGTCACAAAGTTCAATGTCTTCTCTGGCAGTATAAATAGGATATACTTTTTTCACAATAGCTTTAAAAAGTGGTGGGGTTATTCAGTTACAAAAAACAGGATCGACCATTAATAATTCATTAACATTGCAAATTTGTGGGGCAAATCCCTAACAAATAGTGATAAGGTTCAATAATTTGGATCATAATAGTACATTTCCCATGATACTTTGCATCTGATGTCATCAACATTTCGTGGAGGTGTGATGCTAATAGAACGCACGGCTCTGTCTGAAGCTCTGTTACTCAAATTAGACTTAATCTGATCTTTATTTTAACATAATCTGACCAGAAGGAGTTTGGAGCTACAACAGAATCAGAATCAAACTCCGAAACTAGACCATGGGCACTAATATTGACCATAGCCTCCTGAGAATGTGGTGTTTAATTTTTTAATGAGTTTTTAAAGTATATAAACATATTTCTGGTAGTTTTTGCTAATGTGTGCATTGCGTCACCATGGTAACTCTTGAACATCTCCAATAGATGCATGTGTAGAGAACCCGCAGCATGATGTCATTGCAAAGATCTAGCAGAGGTGGGTAGTACTTAGTCATATTTACTTACATAACTTTTAAAGGAAATTTTACTTTTACTCTTACTTTAATAATATTTTGATTTAAGTAACAGTACTCTTACTTGAGTAAAAGTTTACAAGTAACTAAAGCTTTATGTTGACAATATGAAATGATATGAACATTTGTGTTTCTTGCACTGCTACTTCAGATAAGTTTTTTAATTTTATTTTCATGTTTGTCCTTCAAAAACAGCAGATTTTGTGCACAACTTAATGTTTTGTGTTTCAAATTCCATTAACTATAAATTATGAATCTGATGTTACGACCTGACAGTTACTCTGAAGTAGTAGTTTTATCAAATACATTTTTACATTTGAGTAATTTCTTGGATCACTACTTTACACTTCTACTTGAGTAATGCTAAGTATATAGTAATATTTTGACTTGGGTACAATGTCTGACATCTCTACCACCTCCCCACCATTATCTGCACCCCCCAATTATGAACATAGCCATGGAAATCTCAAGGTCTTTTTGACAAAACCAAAGCTTATGAAAATGACAGTTTGCGCCTTTATGTTAATTGTGTGTGGCTCTTACAACAAGGCTTTAAATGTAATCACTTTAACTGTTATGTTTTTCCTGTTTCCTATCCCCAGCGTCCCAAGATCAGAAGGGAACACTTGAGTTCTTTTGTTTTTGGGAGGGTGGGGGTGGGGGGCTGAAGGAGGGTGGGCCCGTGATGCCAGTGCGTCTGCTGGGAAGAAAAATAAAAGAGCCCCCTCCTCCCGCTTTCGTACCACACTGCAAAAACTAAAGTGTAGATAAGTTAAGATGATTTGAATTAAGAAGGTTTTATCATGATTTGAGTAAATGTCACTTGACAAGTAAAATTATCTACAAATGGAAGACTTCTTGTGCTTAAAATACGAAAATACATCTTGCTACACTTGCAGGTGCACTGTAGAACTTTTTGGGTTGGGGTCCGCCACCTGCTTGTTTCTATGGGTACGTCATTGCTCTGCCTGGAATAAGACTGATGGTGTGATTGTGTAACGTTTACTGGTGGAGGGTCCATCAAATGTGTTTCTTCATGGAGCTTTGCCTGGAACGTTTCACAGTACAGTATTAAACCTGTCTATTTTCACTGAGACCACACCAGACCAAGTTACAAGTCAGATCTGTGCAGAGGCAACCCCGCTCACAGTCTGAATGCCTGTTTTTCTAGGTATTTTGAGCTATAAAACTAAAAACTAAAAATAGTAAGGCAGCACTATTCAACATCATACATTGGAATATTCTAAGGAGAGCAATTCATAGAAACAAGCAGGTGATGGACACCCAACCAAAAAGTGCACCTTTAAAGGGACTGTCTGGAATTTTGGACATAGGACCTCATTTTCTAGTTAGCCAGAGTTTTGGAAACGTGTGGAGACACTCCACAAAACACCCGAAGCAAATCTATTATTACGCCAGACTGTCAGTGTTAATGTCTGTGTTGATAGAATAATGTTTGAAATAAAAATAACCTTGCATTGCATGAATCGTTGCATGTGAAGGGACTATTTTCTCATATATCAGTCCGCTGCTGCCAAACGTTCCATCAGGAAGAATAACTCGCTACTCCTGCTCTGACATAAATCCTTCAAATGCAAGGTTAGTTCTATTTCAAACATTATTCTATAAACACAGACATTTACATCAACAGTCTGGTGTAATAATAGATTTGATTCGGGTGTTTTGTGGAGTGGGTAAGTCTGTTTTTAGTGACAGGCTAACTATGGCCATTGACATGCACTAGCCTAGCACCAGTGACCTCTGCAAATACAAGGGCTGAATGGAATATTTTAAAAAGTGTCTCCACACATCTCCAACACTTTAGGAAATGAGGCCCTATGTCCAAAATTCCATACTGTCCCTTTAAGTAATTTAATTTACCTAGATATTGCTTTTTACAGTGCACCACGGACCTACCAACGCTGCATCATTAGTGAGCGCTCAAGCCAGGTATGGTCTTAATTATAGGGAAGTTTAAGACTCCAGAGAACAGGCCTCTTACCAACCCCCCATCTCCGCTCCGCTGTTGAATCATGACGTATAGTAGGAGGGTAAAAGGTCCTATAGTACACAGAAGTGACTCTTGTGAGCTTTACGTCGTGTTAGAATATTATTACTTTATCAAAAATATACTGTATCTGGAGTTGTGTTTTGTTTCATTCACATCTACATCTCCAAAACTCAAAATGCTCTGGTTAACCTTCAAGTTAACAGCTACTTTTTCACCTTTTGTTCAGTAGAGATTGGCAATTCCAGTTGTGAAATGGTCCAAACGATTCTAGTGAATGTATGTGGAGTTTAAAAACACAGTGGAGCACTTCCTGTATTACCACATGGCATCACAAGGTGGAACAGAATGAAGAACACATTGTGCATTAAACATGTGTGAAAGAAACAAAACGCAACTCTAGGTATGTTTGTAATAAGGAAACATTATAACAGATTTTAACAGACAAATTGCGTAATATGGCCCTTTAACGAAAAGTTTACAAGCTCTGAAAACATCAGAGTTGACAAAAATGGTCTAGAAAAGTACACCACAGACTTGGGGCTCCCCGTTGTGTTTTAAATGTTAAGCTTTGTGGGTCACTGTTCTATAGTCGACATCACATGAAGTGTTGTCTCAGCACACTTTCACTTTTAACTGGGACTTAAAAGAGCAGACATGGATGTTTAGAGGAACAGAGGAGGAGGAGTGCTGTTAGGGCTGTGATCTTCAAACTGTCTACAACTGAAATGACAGTAAGGATTTGTCTAAATTTGAGAACTAATTTGATTTTAACTAGGACAAAATCAGGTCTAAACAAGGACAAAACCCAGGCTAATAATAGGACTAAATCAGGTCTAAACAAGGACTAAACCAGGTCTGAATTAGGACTAAACTGGACTCAACTAGAACTAAACCGGACTCAACTAGAACTAAACCAGGTCTAAAGTAGGACTAAACCAGGACTAATCTAGGACTAAACCAGGTCTAAACTAGGACTAAACCATGTCTAAAGTAGGACTAAACCATGTCTAAACTAGGACTAAACCAGGACCGAACTAGGACTAAACCAGGACTAAACCAAGACTAAACCAAGAGTCAACCAGGTCTAAACTAGGACTAAACCAAGTCTAAACCAGGACTAAACTAAGACTAATCGATGACTAAACCAGGTCTAAAAGGTCTAAATTAGGACTAAACCATGTCTAAAGTAGGACTAAACCAATTCTAAACCAGGACTAAACTAGGATTAAACTAAGTGTAAACTAGAACTAAACCAGGTCTAAATTGGGTCCAAACTAGAACTAAACCAGGTCTAAATTAGGTCTAAACCAGGACTAATCCAGGTCTAATTTGGGTCTAAACTCGAATTAACCAGGTCTAAACAAGGATTGAAACAGCTCTGAACTAGCTCTAAACCACAGAAGGACATTTGAGTGTTCTTTATTGAAGTTATCTTAGGTTAACTTAAATTATGTTAGTAATTTCAATTCATTAAAACATTAATGGTTCGAATATAAAAAGTTTCCCATGTCTAAAAAGAAAAGTTCTCTCGGTGAATAGTGGCACAGTATGCACTCTGACTTAGAGCAGCAGAGACTGAATATTGGATTGTAATAAGCTGCACACTTGCTGCTCTTACGGTCGTCTGTTTTAGAAAAGTCCCCAAAAGTCACTGAATTGTCACATTCTATTCTGAAACTTGTGCTCCCTGTGTGGATGACTGCAGAGCACACTTTAGGTGACGTTTAAAAGTATAATATCAAGTCAAATGTGCTTACTGATGCAAAGACTGAATGTAGACTTAGACTCTGACAAACTTTACTGATCCACAAGGGAAATTATACGGACACAGTAGCTCACAGCATATTATAATAACAAAGAGAAATTGTATAATAAATTCTAAATAAATAGCAGAAATAGCAAGAGACTGAAGTCAAATAAGAAATGTAATATGCTATGATTGGCTTAAGTTAGTTACATCAGTTACCAGGAAGATGAATACCTCATAATTTTAGTGATCACATCTTATTCTGCCACTGGTACTAAACAACAAAACAAAACACGCTAGCAGAGAACAGCAAGGATGAATGAGATATTGACTGATTAAGATATGAATATAATTTTATAAAGAAGGCTTAACAGAGTTACTTATATTAAGGGTTGTCAAAACAAGGATACTCAGATACTAATCAACACCAAAACTAGTATTGAAAAAAAATCTGTATCAATATTACAGTTAAACATTTGTAATTACTGTGGTGTCAAAATCTGTATCAAGATCTCCTTAGTATCGAAATGAAGATTGACATTTTGATATCATGTCACTACTACTTTATTTTTTTATTTGACCCTGCTATGACCCAAAACACGGATCAAAACATATTATTTTCATATATTAAAGACATTTTATTTTTACTTTTTTGTTATTCAGTTTTGTTTCTCAATTTCTCTGAGTTTGGAACAAAGGAAAAGACCATGGTGAGCTGGCCAACGTAAAATAAGGACACAGAGCAGGAGGACAGGCCAACCCTATACAGGGCCGTAGGAGCAGCCAGCGCACTGCTGACCCTACCCGAACCAAAAACACAACCCACAAATTATCCCTACATAAACGTGGCAAAAGAAGAAATTCAGTTTGTCAACTGGACAAAAGTTTATTTGGTGGAATACGTTTAGCAGTTCATCTAAGATGCTTCTTCAGTTCTGGTCAAAATGCTGGTGGACATTGCCTTACATCTACCTGAAGGGAGGAGCTAACTTCAATGAAATTACTCTGAAACTAACACACCTACTTGTTTACAGTTTCTGTTAGTTAATTAGGCCTATTGAACTTGCACTGAGTGTGGGGTCAAGTTCAGTAGGCCTGGGTTCAAGTTCTACCTGGACGACTGAGGGATTTTACATATATCCCTACATAAAATAAAGAATGAAACCAGCATGTCCGGACTCACCAGGTCAAACAAAAATAAGACTAAGCTAATAAAAAGCTAAAGACACGGCATAGGAGCCAGCAGGGAGCAGTGCCGGGCTCACTGCGCGAGGAGATGTGTGCGCTCTGATGCACAGGCACCAGCAGAGAGGGCGAGCACGCTGGGCTCGCTCTATTTAAAGGCTCCAAGGTGCGGAACTTAACAAGTAGCTAATTACAAAAAGGTACTTTTAAATATTCAAAAATAGGAATAACTTGTAAAAACAAAAACTAGAAAAATCCTACTAAAAATATCCATACACATGACTTTGTCAAAGATAATACCTACTTTCAGTGGTTATATTAGCCTGGTATGCATCTTCAGATCCACTTTGGCCAGTCTGTTTGACTCAATTATGAATGAAGGAGGAACAGAGTAATTCACAGCTAAGAGCTTTTGAGAACCAAGTAGGAACAGCGCCACTTTGTAAGAACTCTTTTTAAGTTTGTAAAAGCGTGTTTCTGAGAACACATTTTCTTTGTTCATGTTCAAGACTTGAGTTAAAAGTGCCAATTAACACCTGACACCTTACAAAGGTAACAGCGTTTTGAAACGAATTACCTTTTAAAGGTGCACTGTGTAACTCTGCTCGTTTCTATGCCGATTTTATTGATTTGCCTTGAATGTTCTAACCTGTAACTCTGCCTGGTAGTGTCATCTGCTTGTCTCCATGGATCGAGACAAGTTTAATGATATATTGTGTAACCTTCGAGGCAAAGAAATAACATCTCCATGGAGACAATCATGTTGCGAACCCTCCACCAGCAAAGTTACATAGTGCACCTTTGAGCTCCTCATACCTTCAGCTTTATTGTACCTGTGTGACAACAATAAAGGTGGAACCAACATATTATGTGGCATTATACTGGAGCACGCTCTTCTGACATTGGACTTTAAATCATAAGAGAGCTGCTGGTTGTGCTTTTTGGCAATAGGAGCATTGTTGGGGTGGGATCAGACCCAGGATGTGTCACCAGTCTAGCCCAAAACTGTCAGTCACTGCGCATCCCTGCTGCAAGCCTCTTTGTGTTTCCATGACAACGCATTCTCATTAGAAAAAGCACACTTAGGCCTGTCATGATAAATACTATATCAACTTATCGATCAAAGGTGTACTATGTTACTTTTTGGTCACCTTTATTGGGAAGAGTTTGTTTATATTTCTCTACTATGATCAGATTTGAGCTAAAGAAGGTTGAAATATGAACTTCTATGACTCATTAGAGATACTAAGTACTACTTGAAAGGTGTACTGCGCAAGTTTTCTGATGGAAAATCTGCCATCAGTTTGTCTCCATGGAGATGTTCTTGCTTTGCCTGGGATGTTCCACAGTATGGCATTAAACAAATATATCCCGTATTTATTCAATTACACAAAAAACATGCATTATTGCTGTGAACGGGCCCACTTCTCCACAGATGTGACCTGTAACTTTGCTTTGTCATGTCACCTGCTTGTTTCCATGGAGGTAGTTAAATGAAATAGCATCTTGTAGAACATTCCATGGCAAAACATTAATATCTATGGTAGAATCAAGCAGGTGAGAAACCCTCTACCAGAAAAGTTACATAGTGTACCTTTAAGTGTTGTATTTTGCTATTTATTTATTTATTTATTTCAGCTCATGTTTTAATAATATTGTACATTTAGATACATTGAGGGATAATTCTTCTTTATAGTTTGGTTTCAATACTATTGTTTATCTTTATCTTTATCCTACTTGTCTCCATGGAGATGTTATTGCTTTGCCTAGAATATTCCATGGTATGACATTAAACATATCCATCTAGCATTAATTCATTACTGGTGTTTCTGTTGCTCAAAAATATAATAGTTCCTTCTGTGAATAGGAGCGACTCTCTACAGATCTGAATTGTAATGTCTAGTCTTGTAACATGCTTGTCTAACTCGCAATAGATACATTAAATCTATACTGCGGAACATTCTAGACAAAGCGAAAACATTTCCATGGAGACGAAACAGATAGCGGACCCTCCTCTAGAAACGTTACAGTGCACCTTTAACTTATCGTGACTGGCCTAAGCACACTACAAGCTAAAGTGCAAAAAAATACAATAAAAATAAAGTTACTCACCACTTTGAGTTCTGGCACCGATCGACTCAATGTCCACTCTTGGCTGTTGACGAACGAATCTGCAAAAAGACAAAAGATGGTAAGTACACTGCAGATGGGAGCCTACATGGTACAATTATGGATTATGTAACAGATATGATTGTTACATAAGGACATGGAAAGTGTCATAGGCCTCTACATCCATCAATAGACCCTGTCTGAATGAAGCAATCACAGGACACATAAGCACACATACTGATTACAACAAAAGCACTAAGTAGACATTTTCAATAGCACAAGAGAAGGTTGATGGCAGCTATAGTTCGGCCTATATAGAAGTAATTTTAAAGATCAGAACATTTCATGAAGCAGAATCCTAAGATGTTAATTTTGTCTTCTTTCGTACATTAATTTTTTGTGGTTCTTTGTAAACACAACAGATTAAGAGATGTATTTACAGCCAAAGCATGAGCATAAATATACACATCTCCTAGTCTAATGTCTTTACCAAAACCCAAGGACTTAATTTCATGAAGCATATACAGTACTTCGTGATTCAGGGTATCCCCGGGTCTGACTACCTCAAATTTAAGACTTTTTAAAGACCTTTTTAAGACCACTAACATGAAAATTAAGACCAAACATCAGGTCTAATTCTAATAATGACCAACCAACTACCAGTACTATATCTAGAATCTAAGGCTAAGTTTATATGATGATGGTCCTAACAGAAGACACAAAAGTGGCGTTCACTTTTTATTCCGCGTTTATACGGTGACGCAAAAGTGTGTGGAATTGGATTGGGTATGCATGCCAGGCAGATCGGTGGTGACGCTCCTTGGTGATGTATGTGACGTAAACACGTATGCGACTTGAGCAGATCCAACTAGAGTTTTGCGTCTTGGGCAGTGGAGATGAAACTGATTGTTTACTCATTGCCGCCGGCGCCAAAAACTAAAGTATTGTTTGCGCATACTTCAAATTAGACGTTCATTCATGTTACGTTATTTCACGTTGTTGTGTTTTTTTTACCCTCCCCTCCATTTAACATTGCACTGCAGCAAGATTGAGTAAACAAAAAAATAGGCTAATGAAATTTAAGACCTTTGTGAAAAAAATAAGACTTGGACAAAATAATTTAAGACTTTTTAAGGCCTTAAATTAGGTACATGAAATTTAAGATCTTTTTAAGACTTTTAAGGCTACCCTGGTGATTACTCATTTCACTAAAATATAGTTAATGCCATAAGATTTTCATAAATATCAACTTTTTTCTAGGTTTTTAATATGGAAAGGTTATAATTTTAGTTCCTAGTTGGACATGTGCAGCAGATGTGACATATATAGAGCTGCATAACTGTTACCAAGCAACCATTAAACATGTTACCAATGGTCAACGCTGTAAATTGCACAATAGCTATTAGACAAATAAAAATTGAAAAAAGGAATATTTTAAAATCCTTGAGCGTAAATTGTCTCTGCTTTTTGGACTGAATCTTCGGTGTTGATGACATAGGTATTTTATTTTAGAACTTCTGGTGTTTTTTGTACTTTTCTTCAACTTTTTTCCCACTTGACTAAGGTTAAATTGTGACAAACTATCACCAAAACAAAGTCCTTCGAAAACCTGTCATATACACTTTAAAAAGACGCATTGCAGTTGTGAATGTTCCACTGTTTGGGATTATACTTTTCTATCTCCAAGCAGTCAACGCCACCAGGCCAAGTTATGGGTCAGATCTGTGGAGAGGCAAGTCCACCTTTAAGCAAGAATGCATGTTTTTCAATGTATTTTCGAGCACTAAAAACACATGTAGGCGCATAAATATTTGATAAGTTTAATGCCATACTGTGGAGCATTCATGGCAACCCTAACCCAAAAAAAAGTGGTAGCATGCAGTCGAGTAATCTCAACCAGAAAAGTTGCACAGTAGAAAGTCTCAGTGACATACACAGTAGATGTTAAGACAGTTCTAAATGTTTCCCACACTGGAGTCACAGCCTGTAGATGGAAATATCATTAAAGCCTGCTATTTATATCAGCTGTTCTTCTGTTGCTATGGTCACTTCTAATTTGGCACATGGCATTACCACATTGTTATTCACACAAGCAGAAGTACAATGCGATGATAAACCAGAGACTGTAAATGGACATAGTTAACCCGCTAGCTGCCATGCTCCAAACAGGAAGTGAGCATGGGGGCGTTCCAGCTCCATCGATTCCAAAATTGTCACCCTGTCTCTGTAACTGCTGCAGTGAGCCTCGTCATTTTGGTCTTAAAATGTTTGCATTAACCCGCTCTACATGATCCTGGTATTTTTGTATATTGCTACTTTGAACGTACCGTATTTTCCGCACTATAGGGCGCGCTCATAAGCCTCCAACCCCGTCAAAAAACAACTGTGCGCCCCACAATCCAGAGCGCCCTATAAACGAATCCAATCAGGTGTCCCAGCACGACTTCAGTAAACTACAAAGTCGCAGCACCTGCAGCACACGCAAACACACACGGAGCAGACAGCAAGAAAGAGAAAAACACCCGCAGCCACACTCATCACTCCACACGGACGAGGAACGGAACGGAGGAACGAACCGAAAAAGCGAGTGCAATGTGCCACTTCTAGAACAACTGAACAACTGAGTCACTGCGAACACGTCAACAATCCAGCGGTCCCAGACAGCACCCTCCCTACACGCCACAATCGAACAAAGCCCAGAGTCACCGTGAACGCACTAAACTAAGTCCAACTGACCCATCCAACTGTTGTGTTTTTCGTTTAAAGTCTGGTGCGGTTTATTTGTGGAAAAAAGTTCGAAAATAGACCATTCTATGACAATGAGTTTTATAATCCAGAGCACCCTATAGTGCGAAAAGTACAGTAAATAAATTCCTATTCCGAATATGGAGCTGGCTCCAAATTCGGTCTTATAACTGCAGACACTGTGAGCTTCATTTGACTGGAGGCAAACGCTATGGGTGACACCGCACTCCCTTAATCCACTTCTTTACACAGTCTGTGATAAACTTTTTTTTTTTTGGTGTAATAAAAAACAAATGTGAGCTATCAACAAAAAAAAATAAAAAATCTTTTCCAGATTATTCAAAATTTGTGCAAAGTCATTTACTTTTTTAATTGCAGCACACAATAATACGTGTATGAATCACTAGCAGTAATTGCGTTTTAAGCCAAGAAACTACGGGACACATTAGTCACAACAGTTATTAGCTTTTTCGTCTAGCAAATCATTCTAAAGTCAAACCAAAGTTAATGAAATTATTTGGAAAGAAAAGTAGCATACACATAAAACTTAGTTAAATTGATTTGTCTCCATAAACAACAGATTACCCTTCTTCAGGTGACACTTCAACTGAGCTGAAAGTTAAAAGGTGCACTGTGTAACTTTCTATCCGGAGGTTTCTACACTTCTTGTCTCCATAGAGAGACTGCTGAGATTATTGTTTGCCTGGAATGCTCTACAGTACTGAGTTAAATTGATCTACCTTCCATTTAAAATCAATTGCAGGCATTTTTGTTGCTCAAAAATACCATGAAAAACACATTCTTACTGTGAGCAGGCTCACATCTCTGCAGATCTGACATGCAACACACTTGGTGGCATCCTCTACTTGTCTCAATGGAGACAATTTATTTTATTTTATTGCCACACCGTGGAGCATGGCCGGCTTACGACTAGGGATGGGCATGATTAGTCGATTAATCGATAATTGATCATTAAGAATTTTGTCGATTACATTCATTTTTAATCGACAAGCCGAATGCAGGTTGCAGTGCGTAGCGTAGGGTGACCAAATGTCCGTTTTTTTCCCAGGACATGTCTGTTTTTCACATAACTGTCCTGGCTATCTGGGTTTTTTTTTTTTAAGTGATGCAAATGTCCGGGTTTTCATTACCTTTCATTGGGCTATTAAACTGAGCGGCTCTTGTAGCTCTCTGTGCACTCAGAAGGAACAAGCAGACACAAACAGTTGCTCAGTCTGCAACATGCTGAAGCACAAATGCACATTTAATGATGACTTGTACAAGAAATTCCCCGCTTTCCATCCCGGTAAAGACAAGTGGAAGGCCATGTGCACAGTGGCAGTGGCAGGGACCTTAAAGCTCACCAGGACACCGAAAAACATGAAAAAGCTTTGCCAGGTGAGAGTAGCTCAATGTCCATGAGGTGGCCCCACCTCCTGCCCCCCGTACGGTGTCCTGGTTTTGACAAACGCAAATATGGCCACCCTAACTTATATTCCACTGAGTCATGTCCTTTAGTCCGACAGAAGTTGACCGCATCAGCGCACAAGAGCTGTTTATTTCTTCACTTGGTTTATGCAAATTATCCAGGCTTTAAGTTTTGTTTCTGTGAGACTCGCACAAAGCTGCATTAAACACATTATAATCTCAAATGGGCTGATGTGGCTCTAGAGTGGTTACGGTTTATATGTCGTAAAGTTGAATTTATTTATGGAGATTAGTAGTGCAGATAGTAATAATAATGATGATAATTTTAAAATAAAAACGTTAATGATTAATCGATAATCGATTGTACCAGATTTTCTTCCATGCATTTGAGCAAAATCTGTATAAGTTCACTGGGTGCTTATTTTTCACTAATCAGGAAGTGCGGATTAGCATACTTGTTGTTGTTATCTTTACTGTCATGGCAAAATTCCACTGTGGTCTCAGAATTGTTAAAAGAGCTTATAAAATCACTGCAGTGAATAAGTAAGGAAAGCATGAGAAATAAATCTGGACCACTTCAAACTGTTTAAATGAACTAGTTCTCTTTTTCATGTGTTTAAGTCAGTAAAAATTTGCTTCAGCGCCTTTAAGTAGCTGTTCCAATATTGGGCTTGTAACATGGTGTGGACTCTAAAAAGGGATTTGGGTAATCCTTCTCAACAGACACCTTTTATGAGACCTGATCCAACTTGTCGGATTTTCCAGTGGCATAAAGATCACTGTGAGAAAGACCAGACCGAGCTCCTCTAAAGTGGAAAAAAAAACACACGAAGAAATGACAACTTCCACAGCTATACTTCTTTCTCACAACTGTGTCACAACAACAATT